CGTTTTTTTCGGCTCAAAACGCCTTACTATACCTGCTTGCTATACATGGTCGTTTTTTTCGACCAAAAACGGCACGTTTTTTTCGGCCAAAGACGGCATACTATACATGGTCGTTTTTCTCGGCTAAAAACGCCTTACTATAGATGTTATTTTTTTTCACCTAAAAAAAGCAAACTATACATGGTCGTTTTTTTTCGGATAAAAACGCCTTACTATACATGGTCGTTTTTTTCGGCCAAAAACGGCATACTATAAATGATCGTTTTTTTCGGCTAAAAACGCCTTGCTAAACATGGTCGTTTTTTTCGGCGAAAAACGCCTTACTATACATGGTTGGTTTTTTCGGCTAAAAATGCCTTTCTATACATGGTTGTTTTTTTTCGGCTAAAAGGCATACTATACCTGGTCGTTTTTTTCATTTAAAAACGGCATACTATACATGGTCGTTTTTTTTCGCGTAAAAGCGGCATGCTATACATGATCGTTTTTTTGGGTCAAAAACGGCACACTATACATGGTCGTTTTTTTCAGCCAAAAACAGCATACTCTTCATGGTCGTTTTTTTTCGCGTAAAAGCGGCATGCTATACATGATCGTTTTTTTGGGTCAAAAACGGCACACTATACATGGTCGTTTTTTTCAGCCAAAAACAGCATACTCTTCATGGTCGTTTTTTTTCGCGTAAAAGCGGCATGCTATACATGATCGTTTTTTTGGGTCAAAAACGGCACACTATACATGGTCGTTTTTTTTGGCTGAAAACGACTTACTAAACATGGTCGTTTTTTTTCGGCTAAAACCGGCATACTATACATGGTCGTTTTTTTTCGCGTAAAAGCGGCATGCTATACATGATCGTTTTTTTGGGTCAAAAACGGCATACTATACATGGTCGTTTTTTTCAGCCAAAAACAGCATACTCTTCATGGTCGTTTTTTTTCGGCTAAAAGCGCCTTACTATATACATGGTTGTTTTTTTTTGGCTTAAAATGCCTTACTATACATCAAGGGTGTATAACATACGGCCTGAACCGGCCCACAAGTAGGTTTGATCAGGCCCGCAGGATAATATAAAAGTGAAAAAATGCACAAAAGACACGGAATGAAAATTTTTAATGAGATGCAATTCGTGAAATAGCCGCTAGGGGGAGACACTGTTTTGATCAAAGGAAAAGACAACATTGTTTTGATCAGAGAATACAACAGCAGCCTCAGTCTGTCACTGAGACAGACCCAACACAGCAGACGCTATCAAGGACCTATCAAGTGCATCTGAATACTTTATTCTTTACACATATTATAGCACTCTCCTCTGTTTGTCAGGTGTAGGCAGGGATTACATTTAGATTTTATATGCTCGTGTAAATGGTTTAAAAATTCCTTTCTTCATAAATCTCGTTTAATCTTGAAAAACATAGTAATGCACTTTTAAGACCAATTACTTGTTAAGGTGTTGTGCCTTTGTATAGTCAGTGGGATCAGTTGCAATGCATATATGTGAATGATAAACGTACATTGCACATTTGTCCAAAGAAATCTTAGGTGCTTCATGAAATGTTTTGTAAAAGATATGTTCATTAAATTTCAACATTTTCATAGTGTTCTTGTGCATCTTGAGACCAAAACAAAGGAAAGACATATTACTTTGGTTATTTATAGCAGAGTATGGTCTCATTTTTAATGGTCCGGCCCACTTGACATCTACCGAGGATTTTCGCAGCAGAAGGGCCGAATGGTAAAAGACCTCGCATGGTGATCAGGCGAACAGAGCTGGTAAGAAGTCTCATTTCAACAAGCCTCATTTCATTATTCAGAGTTGAAGGAAGATTGTTCTTGGGTCCTCCGT